TGTACTGGAATCATATTGAGAAAAAAGGAAGTCTACCCAATTCTGACTCTAGCTTACATCACTTGTATAGAAAGCATGGCTTTCCATTAGGATATTTCAAGTCTTAATTCCACTTTTAAGAAGTCGAGAATATGCTCCATTGGGTAGACTTCCTTTTTTCTCAATATGATTCCAGTACAGAGTTCTCAGGGGCCAAAGGCCAAAAAAAGAAGAAGTGAATCAAGTGGAATGATTAAAAATATAATACATAAATAAAGTCATTTCCTGCCCATTGTATAGACAGCATAGTACAGAGTCCTACTAAAACTTAACCTGTTAGTAAAAACAAAACAAAATTATCACTCTTTGACCCCATTTAGCTTTTTTGAAACAAAAACATCCTCTCTCGTATACCAATGTAAATCAAGAATTGCTCCCTGGGAAGACACTGCCATACGAGGAGAATCAGACCCAGTGTCTCTCCCAACTTAAACTGCAAATAGCCTCTGAACTGCTTTGCTGGCCCAGGCATCAAAACAGAGATCCCTCTTCCTATTTTAGGGAGAGAAAGCTTTTGTAAAAGACCATAGCAGGACAGTCAGCCCCCACCCCTTTAAATCTAGAAACATTTCATGCAAGGCAGTGGACACAGTGTGACCAGTTCTGGTCCCAGTGTAACCCCATTGACCTTACTGACATGACTTTGGATTGACAGTGGGATCAGATTCTGGCCTGCTGCCACTTCTGTTATTGCTCTAGGTGCCCCTGTGCCTAATGCATAGTTATCAGGATGCCTTGGGGCTATCTAAATACATTTAAATAAATAAATAAAGCATTCTGGTGAATCTGCATCTTGAAGGGGAAAATACACACACATTCAAAATAAAGAGATCATTTTAAACATCCATCACATTTGACTTTCCTGTAGAGCCTGCTTCTGATTTCTCCCTGCTTCCAGTGCATGTCTGGCATAGCTCCATAGATTTAAAACCCATGTAAGTGAGATCAGAATCAGGCATGAAAAAAAGGACATGGTAAAGCCATTAAATATAGATACTGGGCCAGTACTCTTAGCTGGTCCAATCACTGTAGCTGTTTTGAAGTCAGTGGAGCTCTGTGGATTTAACTCCAGCTGCAGATTTAGAGAGAATGAGAAGCTCTGCTCCCCAGTCATCTTTGGACAGAAACTCTTCCAAAGCTAGGAAACCTATTTAGGATGCACAGCACCAACCAGGTTGCTGGTCAGAATCCACTCAGTGCAAGTGCTTACCAGTACTCCTCACACCTAGTTTCTTAAGCAATTGTAACAGCAGGAGAAGCATTAAGAAAGCAGGGCTTAGATTCAACGTTTCTATCATTTCCCTCTTTGTGTTTAAAGATGATGAGTTAATTCATCCCTGGTAGAGCTCCACTGAAGTCAGTCATACTTAAATATTCCTGCAGGCAAAGCATAGTTTGTTTGGGGCCTCCATGTTCTGTGCAAAGGACCTGATTCCACTACATTGAAGAACATGGGAATAGGAGCCACTTGCTGCCACTGCTGCACTTAATCATTTGATCCAAGAAGAGACTGTTTTGCATAAGAGAACAGCACCTGGCGCATCCCAGGTACTTTCCCTTCAGCACATCTAGCCAGTCTGAAGGTAAGGCTTCGCTGTCTTAAGGAGTTTGGATACAAAAAGAACTGTTTTGACCAGCATCTTTACCTAAAGCCCAGCCTCTCTTTTTGGAGTTTGGAATACATATTTCAAATTGTCTTTCATATCTGTTCCCTCTCCTGCTCTTAATTATTTTGAGACTGGTTGCTAAATTACCAGGTTAATCTTAAGAGTGTTTCTAGCTTTATCAGAAGCATGAAATACCAAAGAAGCTCATCACAAGAGAGCCTTATGTGGGATCTTTTCCAATCCTGTTTTGCAGATCTATGGGAACAGATTAAAATTTAGAAAAGTATAAAAACTCCATCAGACCGCTCCTCTTCTTGTGGTTTGTCCATCCAGAATTTTCCATTTATCTGTTGGTAAAACTACATTTTAACTTTGGGCAAACCTCAAGAGAGAGGCTCAGTTCTGATAAGTGAGCTTATCTAGAGTGTTTACCAATCCATCTAGATTGAACCAGGTTGGAAATCACAGGAGAAGGAGGGTTTTTTCCCAATACTTGCAGATCTTAAGATAAAAGTATAACTTAATGTAGGAAACAATGCCATGTAGGGACAATGCCATGTAGGGACTTCCCTGTACAGCTCTGCAGCATGATGTGACCCTCCTGGACCTTCAAGGAAACAGCTGGGATAGAATTCAAGTCTTTCACTCCAAAAATACTCATCCTGACAGACTCTAGCTAGAGGAGTATCTCCATTTCCAGTTAGAGCTGTGCAGGGCCTATGACACACAACTGAGCAACTGTGATTTTCTCCAATAAAGTAGCATACATACCAAAAACACTAACCTGGTGGATACGGTTGTGTCATACCTGTTATTTTTGATACTTCTTTCTCCTCTCTGGGTTGGAAATACTGCAAAAATAACTTTTCTTTATTTTATTTCCCTACACTTCTGCCCTGGACCTTGACTGACTGCAGGGAGCACAATATAGAAGGAATTATGAATAAAAAGAGTGAAAGACTGCCAGAGCTTTTCCAGACCTCAAAGTAATTTCAGTATGGGTTCAGCATGGTCAATTCTTATTGTATCCAAACTAACTCCTTCTCCTTAGGACCAAATTCTCCTGAAAATTACTCCAATTTTACTGTCCTTTAACATCAGTGGAGTTACTTTGGCTTTACACTGGTGTGAAAGGAGACTTGGACTCTGATCTTAACAAACCAAAATACATTGAAGGAAGTTTTCTATAAAATACAATCAGTTATGTGCCCATTGTCCTAGAGTTTGCAGGGTGGTTTGGAAGTGAATTTCCCTGCCTACACTAGAATTAAGACATTGTAGGACCCAAATCTCTCAGGCCTCATTAGGAATTGTATCCAATTAATTCCTCAGTGTTGGATAGAGTTCCTTCCTGTTTACACTGAGATAAGCGAGAGGAGATTTGGACTCTCCAATGTGTGGTTTGTATTATTACCTTGCAAATATAGCTTATTTCAAGTAACATAAAGCCCAATCTGTAAAAATACATCATTCAGTTTTCCAGTAACAGGTCATTCTCATGAACAAAACTCAAATTCATCTTTCAGGTTTCTAATAGGCCATGTGAAAGAAGGTTAGAGATTGGGTATCAAAGCTTCTAGGGCACAAGCCAGTTCTTTCTGTCTAATATATTCACCCATGTCTCTAGTCTATGGTGGAGCAACACCCCACTATCTTGTAATGTAGAAACGAGGGCTGGCGTGCCTCCTGGCATCCATCATGGAAAGAGGGTCATCTGGGTTGACCACATCGTTTGGATTGAATCGCATGGGCTCTCTGGGCAGGTGGGCGAAGTTACTTTGAAACCGTTGTGGCAGGGCCTGCACTGCAGAGATCTTTCTCTGGGGGATCAACATCTGGTGGGGGTCCGTAGGATCAATATCTGCATTTCTAGTGTGCCTGTGGGGTTCAGGTGTGTTGAACCGAATTAGAGGGATCTCATTTCTCCTGGACAAAAACTGGGAATAAGGTGGTGGGTTCATACCAGGGAAAAAAGCTTGCTTAGCTCTGCCCAGGCTGACCAAAAAGTGGTACTTGGGAGACTGGTACACGTCATATCCATTTTCCAGTGTTCTTTGTTTAAACACACAGTCCTCTTGATTGAAGTAATGCTTAAGAAACAAAAATAGGGCAACGGTTAATGGTTTAGTGGATTAACAAGTGTCAGTAGGCAACAGGGGGACCAATGGCTACATCTGGCAGTTCTCATTCATGTGAAGAGCTCTGCTGGCTTCAACAGGCCCTTTCACATAAGAAAGAAGTGCAGAATTAGGCCCTTCGGGTTTTTTTTACAAAGGTCTTAAGGGCCCACTACAGCAAGTAAAAGTGCCTATCAGCCATTCTTGATGCTTATCAGAGCTGAGGGGGCTTGCTACCATCAAGGATGTACTCAGAGCATTGTAGGCCTGGACTATAATTTCTCTCCTCAGACCCTGGCTTTAAGTAGTAGCAAGAAAGTCTTAGTAAAATGTTAATCTGATAAGCACTCATAGTCCCTCCAAGTCTTTGAAGTTATATCTCTGTTCATATAAAATAACTTCTGTGAAGGCTTCAGTGTCTTCGCAGACATACCCACAGATGACATGGATTTGGACCTTCCCAGACTTATCCCATGGCAGCTCCCTTGGCTTTGGCACAGAGTGCTGCTGGCACAACTGACATAAAACTTAAGTCTGTTAATATAACTGACTAAAAGCAACACATTTATTCTAGACTAATAGCCAGGTCCTTGGCTGGTGTAAATATGTCAGATTAGTGACTGGAACAATGGAGATTTACACCAGTGAAGAGGTAGTCCCATAGCAGTTGGCAAGAGTTGCTCTGCATTTCACTAGAGTCTCAGGAAAGCTAAAAATACTCACTGATCCAAAGATATTTCCTTGGATGTCCATGCACAGGTAGCACCCACTCTTGACACCAGTTATCACCACATAGCCTGCGTTTTCAGCTTTGATCATGAGAGCACCTGCAGAAAAAAAAAAGATAGTGTCCAAAATCAGGGAAGGGTTTTGCCTTTCAACAAAAAATTAGCTGAAACTTTCTTTGCAACCTGTTTTCTTGGCACTTTAAAGTTTAGTTAATCACAGTTTTCCAAAGTGGCCTCTCTCTTTAATTTCAGGCCAATGCAGCAAATACTTTTTTCCTGTATTTTTATTTCAGTCCAATGAAGCATAGGATAGCAAAGTCTCTTTGCTTTGCACTAAGGTGCCCAAGTGCTACTTAAAACTATGTTTATGGGGCACCTGTGCTAAAAGTTGCAACAGTTTCAAAAAAAGTAAAATGTATCAAACAAAGATGAGCTAAGTCTATGGGAGTTGTATACAAATCACTAAAGCTATGTTTATTTCAAGGTCAGTTTTTTCAAATTTATTTTTTTGCTCCCATGTGCTCAGGAAGAGCAGGTCTGACAGTAAGGAGTGGGGGAAGGGGCAGTAGGGGGTAGAAACTGGCAAAGACAAAGGGGTTAACTGATTCCCCCAAATTTATTTTCCCTGCTGTAGCTGTGAGAAGGGGACAAATTCAAGACAAACCTCCAATAATTAGATTATATACCTGGAAAATTATATAAAATTTATAAATGTTACATATTAGGATCTAATTATTGGAGGGTCATCTTATAATCAGGGTTGTTTTATAGTCAAGTAAATACAGGTAGCTTTGTTCAGTTGTTCCAGTGTTTATTTTCTCATAAAAAGTCATAAATTAAGCAATAGATCTTTTATCCAAAAAGAAAATAAACTTTTATTTCTGTTATCTACACATTATCAATTAGGAGATGTATGCTGCATTAATAAGATGGAAAACAATCCTCAATATTCCTAGCAGGTTAACGCTTGAGTTGTGAAATGACCAGAGTGATTTTTAAGTGTCACAAAATGCATCTGAATATATGGCTTCACCTTTGGGTAAGTTTTGAACAGCAGAAGAGGAGTCCCTTAATTAGGCTAGAACAATAAATTACTTTGAGTCAATTTGTGAAACTTTTAGTCCCAGTGGAGATCAGTTACATATGAGAAGTCCCACAGAAGTCAATGAGAGTTAAAAGTTTACCCATCATAGCCTGACTTTTGCAGAATTCCATTATTTAATTTACAGCTGGACATACAATTATTCATTTCATATGCACAGGGATATTTCTCACACAGTGATCAGATGAATAGTTCCCAAGCTTTTCTCTCAAGCAGATATCCAAAGAAGGGACCAGTTGATGCATTTGCAAGTGAAAATTTATTTATGCAAGCACATGGATGAAATTAGCCATCTTCCATTCACAACAACAGGCTTTGTGGATACAATCTGCTTGCCTCTATTATTTGCACTTTCCTCAGAAAATGAAGTGGTTAGGTTTATAAGCTGCTTTGGATGTGTCACTGTCCAACACAAATTTGAGTTGTGACAGGAAACCAGGGACATACCTATAGAGAGAAGTTACTTCTGACAGTTTTTGACAGGTATCCTGCATTTATTACTTATAAAATGAAGACTGAAGGTCATGTCACTTGGATTGTTTTAAGTAGCTTTGTTCATTTGTTAAACAAAAGGATAGGGTTGCCAGCTCTGTTTGAATCTATTCCAGGAGGTTTGTGGAACGCCAGCGTACCCATGACACACAACATAACCATGCCTGTGTGCTTAGGAATATCAGTTACTGATTATGGTGCATAGACTTTACATCAGGAAGGCAAACGTACTTTACTGTTACATTTTTAAAAACCCTGTATAGATCAGATTCAGCATTTAATATTTATGTTCATGAATGCCCTATCATTTATCTCCTGGGTGACTCTCAGCAGTCTCCTGGAGATTTATATCTAATTCCTGGAGACTCCAGGGAAATCCTAGAGGGTTGGCAATGCTACAAAAGCATAGTCTTTAACTAAAGTCTATTTTCCTTTTATCTGGAGGGAAAATGCAAACATTTAATTAACCATTGCTCTCCAAGTGTGAGTACATCTCCCCTACCTGGTCTCCAAATTATCTCAGTGCACTATTCAGCCTCCTTGCTCTAGCTCTCTTTCCTTTGTCTTACCTGAGGTAGGATACTTCCCCAGACCCTGAAAGTAGAAAGTCTGTCCTGTTCAGGGGAGGTCTGTGTGTGTAGCAAGCTACTTACTGTAAATGGTTTGGTGAGGGGTCCCATCCACATAACCATCAGGGCTGATTTGTAGGTGAAAGCTGTTCTTCTCCGTAGACGTGTACAGGTGCATCAGACGATCTGTGGTTCCCCAGCTGGGATTGAGCAGTGGAGAGGAGTTGGGAAAGGCAGCTGTAGCCTTCAAGCTGCACAGGACAAAGATCATGAAGTCCAGGCGGCTGTACTGACTGGTCTGCAACATGGTGCTCTCTTCTTAGTGGCTGGTGCTGTATCTGAAACTCGATACTTCGCACTCCTTCTTTTCTGCCTCCTCTCTGTGTGTATTTGGAGTGTGAGTCCTTAGATGGGTTCCCAGCTTTTTAGCAGCCACTTATAAAGGGCAACTGAGTGACATCACACAGGAAAAGTTTGTTGTCCACATCCTCAATTTATTTATTTATTTATTTATTTTTGTCAAAGCAACATTTTAGGCATGTCCTGAGATCCAGGGAAAGGCAGGTCCTCTTTGCAGTGGCGGGGGCAGGGGCCAGGAAGAATACATGGTTTTTAAAGACAGCCTTCAACAGTTAAATGTATGATTAGCTCTTATCTGCAACACTGACATCAGAAGGCTTCTCGCCCCCTGCTCTTCCCAAGAAATAAGGAAAGAGAAGTCATTATTGTACTGTATGACTCAAACACAACAGTGTTCATTTCCCCTTTTTCCTTTGGGTTCAGATTTATTTTTCCCTATTTTTCTTGTCTGAGCTCACCAAATTACAGGGAACTTCCTAAAATGCATCCAATGTCCTCAACTCCCTCTCAAGTCAAAGACACTTAGCTCCTTGCTGGATCAGACCCTCAGTTTGTTTCAAGAAACAAGTGTGCAAGTGCATGGGCTTGGCTCTGCTCTCATGTGGTGAAAATCAGCAGTTTACTGCCCCAGGGGAGCCACCTTTGGGCATTGTTCTACCAGCTGAGGGGAGAATCTGCCCTTTTAACATAAACTCTCCTTATTATTTCTTCCCTCTTAAGTTCTTAATTTTGAGCCATCTCCATAGCCTGATTTACAGTGACAAGGCAGCTGGAAGCATCTAGAAACACTTGGCAAGAGACTTTCGTTTTTCCGTTCCTGCTTTGAGCACCTAGATGGCACTCCTTTTACAGATTCTCGGCCTGCCAAACAGACTAGACAGAGAATATGAGCTGAATCTGATCTATTTAACCCATGAGCACATTTAGGGCTATATATATAGCAAGTATCTTCTAAAAGTCATAAAAGGGACATTGCCAAATTGAAGTAAAATCCGTAATGAAAAGTCATTTGGGACACAACACCAGTTGTCAAGCTGTCTTGCTGATTTTGATGCCGTTGCGATCATTTGGGGTTCTTTTCCCTATTTCAAACTTTTCTTTCCTACCTTGCAATCAAAATAAATCATGCAAATAGGAAAGGAAACTGACAGCACAGAGAATCTGTGAATCTGGGTTACGCTAAAGTTGCTTTCAAAGACATGGAATAACATGGAAGAATCGGTGGAAAAAAATAGATTTGTCTCTCTCATTTAGAGAAACCCGATTACGCTTTGTAACATGTACATTTTCAAGCAGACACAGGGAAAGGTTCCTAGAATCTCCTTCCATCTGATACACCAAATTCTTAGTTTCAGTTGATTAATCTGGAGCAAGGCCACCAAAGTCAGTCAAATTATTTTAGCTTTACACCAGTATCATGGAATCTGTCCCAATATGTTTTGCTGTTCAGTAACTATTTAAAACAAGCATCTTAGTGCCAAATCCTACTCAGACACACCTGTGTAAATCTTGACTGATGCCACATCTGTGTACACACCTGTGTAAATGACAGCAAAATTCTGGCCCCAAGTGTGCAATGTCGGGCCTCACAGTGGGGCAAATTGACGAAGCTCCATCGATCGATACCCACTGAGGAAATGCCTCCTAACGTTTTATACAAGGAGGTTTTAGGGTGTAGTGACCGCCGGGACTGATAATCTTTCCTTTCATTCAGGAATTCCATGTAGTGTGAGAATGGTCTGATCAGTGTTTTTATCTGTGTTAGAATTGTTTGATGGGGAGCTCTTCAGGTTGCTAATGGAGCACAAGTATTTCCCCCTGCTCAACCACTCCCTGCTCTCCCCCAACCCAGTTGCTGCCCCATGTAGTTCAAGGCAGTGTCAGAGACAGTATCCAGCTCCAGACGCTTCTCAGACAGGTGCAAGCAACCCTGGAGTAGGTGACTGTGTCTTTCCTCTGAGGGCTCATCTATATGGGAAAACACATGCGAGGCAGTTGTGCCCACAAATACACAGTGCTGTTTCATCCATCAGAAAGAGTGTGGCCACATCCTGTGACAGCTTAGCATTGCTATGTGACATGACCCATTAGTCCAACTCTCAAGCTCACTAGCCCACTCAAAGTGATGTGCAGAGGTGGCTACACTCCTTCTGTCTTTGGAGGATGCACTATGTGGAGCAGTGCAACTTGGTTTAAGGACCTGCTTCCTGGCTTAGTGAACTTCCTGTGTAGGCATGGCTGTCTCCTAATTCCTGATAGTTAGAGATTGATTTACAACCTGAAATTTTAAATCCTGGATAAAACTGTTCAGCACCTATTCTATGGCATACTCTGCTTATCCACATAAGCCTTAGGACTGTGCGAAGCTTCGGGTGGTGATTCAATTTGGAGGAGATTTGACCCGATTCAGTGGCCAAATCTCTGAACACAAATCGAACTGGGGACTACTTTAAAGGTCCAAATTGATTCAAAGCTCTCCAAATCTTCGGCAAAGATTCGGAGAGGTTTAATGATTTGGGCAGTCCCTGGTGGCTGCAACATGGAGATGCAGCCACTCCAAACTGGTAAGTACTAGGTGCTGTGGGAGGGGGGAGAGGACCATGGGGGGGGACGCCTGACAGCCCTCCCAACCCCCGCCCACTCCCAGAGCCCCCCTCCATGGCTGCCCTACCCGCCCCAGCTCGGTACTTTAAAAAAAAGCCCCAGTGCTCACCAAGTGCTAACAGGCAGGGGACGATTCCCACTGGCCCACACTGCATGGGGGGCTCTGCACAAGCCCTCTCAACGCCCCCCCCATGGCTGCCCCACCTGCTGGGGCTCTGGCCCTTTAAGGAAAAAAAAGTGGAAAAAAGCCCTGGGACTCACCACTCTTCTGCAGCCTCCTGGCTTGTGGGGCTCCTGTAGAGCCGCCACCTGGTGCAGGGCAGCACCGATCGCCCCCTGACAGCAGCAGCAGTGAATCCTGGGGTTTCTTCAGGTTTTTTTTTTTTCT